ATATTTCTGGAGGGAGGCTGTTAACTTTTTATACACATTTCGGACTCTAAATGAACTGAAATATTGTTTCACGAATGCTGATTTTATGCGTTTGTTAAATAATTCTGTTTATACAAAATATAGGAGGTACAATAAAGCTTTAAATATATACTTCTAAACTTTAAAACTACTCCCTAGCCAACATAAAGTTTGTTATATTATGTAGTAACCTACGTTCAAATAAAATTCTCATATTGATTATTTTAACAATAAATACTTAATATTTGTTTTATTTATTCCAAAGTACTTTTTTTTATTATAGAAGTGGACAGCCAGTTGATTAATAGCCACATATTCCTACCATTAGACCAACAAGTTTGAAAAATGGACGATCTAATTAAAATCGCATAAGGCGTGAAGTGAACACCTGCGAGGGGCGGGGGGGAAACCTCGTCCGAGGGAGAAGATTTCCACTTGATTTACCGACAGCATTTTCCTCGGCCATCCATCATCCCTGATAAATAACTCCGAAGAAAGCTGAGATTTAACGATACACAGAATAATTTGAATTTCAGCTATCGTTTGATATTATGGTGAGAGGTTAACCGTTCGATTCCTGGTTGCATACCAAACTAATAGATAAAACTCTGTTAACGGTTTGAAACGCGGAATTTATTAGGTAACTTATTTACATTTTTTTAGAACTACGGTCCGACCTTCCGGATCCTATGCAAAAGCCGACAACAGATCTTGCTTCGACATGATATGTGTGTTTCACCTTCCATCAAGTTGTCTGTCTTACTTTGTTGTTGGTTTGTGTGATTTAATTATGTACGTACACCAGTAGGGTCCGCGACTTCTATACTAATATTATAAAGCTGAATAAGTTTGTGTGTTTGAACGCGCCAATTTTAGGAAGTAGTATTTTAAATGTAGAAATAATTTAATTTAAAACCAATAGTAGCTAATATACAGAATAAAATATGAATAAAACGCGGAACATTATTCATCTTTAAGGGTTTTCGTTGCGTGCGTTGCAAAAACGGTTTAAGATATAGAAATGTGTATAAATTATATTATTAATAATTGTTTCTCTTTCAATGATCTAATGAAGGCCGCGACGCTATATGTCTATCTTTTAAGATTAACTTATGTTTGTTTAAACGGTAAGCGACTAAGTCATGATTAAGACCAAGACATTAATTCCAAGTCGACATTTTATAATGTCTCAGCGCACCCATAAAAATGTAAATGCACCAAAAACAAGCGACTAATGTATACGAAGGGTGAATTAAACGGGTGTTTGTCTCCGAAGACATTTTTACGTTGTTTGTGGATAAATTGAATCGCTGGCTAGAATTGATTTTGTCTCAATCGTAGCTTGTAAAATTTTCTAAGTTCTTGCTAAGAGATATTTCTTGAACAAAGAATAGAAGCCAATTTGGATTGTGCAAGGCACTGTCTGTAGTTTACGCAAGTAATACACATTTAAATAAAACACTTTAACGGTACAAAACGCGACATACCTATATAGAGGCCTATGTCCAGCAGTGGACACTGAACAGCTGAATCGAAAAAATGGAAAATACCTATATTAGTTAAACCTATTAGAATTTTTTTAACTACGTTACGGGGTGACTAAAGATAAAGGTGTCTGTGATGTCAAAGAAAAAAACTGCTGCGCTACCTGTTCCGTCGAAGTTGATATCTGGCGAAATAATTTTTACTAGTTAGTTAAAATGAGTTTAACGCGTTTTAAACCGTTAAAGGTTTATTATTTATATTGCTCGCATGAACAACACACAATACTTATTTATTATTAATTGTTCTGTATTCAAAGTATTTATTTCCTAAGTACATATTATAATATATACTTTTGATATATGTAATATTACTACATTATATAGTATAGCGTCGTCTGAAAATACATAATTAATGTATGAGAAAGATTTTAACATAGTGTACCTACCCTTGTTAACGTACATAAAATCGAATTGTATGGAATATATTAAAAGCGTACATTTTGTCCACTCGTCCATAATTCTATTTAGGGATAGCGAAATTTCGTCTCAAAGCCTCGAACAAACCAAGTTTATAAAACCGTTTAAGTACCAAAAATCACGTGGAGTTTGTAAGGCTCTTGCGCATACATTAAGGTGAAACAAAATCATTATTCAAATCCCCTGAATAATGTTTTCAGGACTGGAGACTGAGTTTGTGTCGTTTTTGAATTTTAATACGGAGTGTAACAAGTTTTGTTCGTCAAAGGAGATCGGACCGTCTAGCTTCGGACTACACACGGTTCGGAAGAATGCAAACCTAACTATGTAACTAATTATGTATGTTTACTCCATATCTATTGACTGTGGGTTCGATTTCCACCGATATCTTTCTACTTAACTCATAATTTTTGAGAAACATATTAGTTTGACTTCGTTTGGAATTTTGGATATTAAATCCGTGGTGTAACATTGAAATTCCGATACAGTAATAAATCGCCGTCAACTGGTAAAGTTAGATCGCGTCGCGGTTTCAGTCAGGGATTTACGAATATCCAAAGTCAAAACAGCTTCACAAAACAGCATCTTGTGACACCGTCCTAAACCCCAAACCCCAAGCTTATATCATCGATCGATATATATATCAAACGATTTAAATGTGCGAAGGTAAAAAGTTAGTTTAAACCAAGCGTTAGACCGAAGATATTTGTTGCAATGTATTTATACCAAATAATAATTAATTTTTATTTTTATTTTATTTAGAGACACATTCTTTACTAAAAGTCATACAATAAAAATTAAACTAAAACAAAACATTAAAAGTAATAAAATAGGTACTGTACAGTTCTTTTGTCTATTCTATTAAAAATTAATACATACATCTACCTAGTTACTTTACTTGTTCGCCATCCTTTCAAGCTCTATAGAAGCCGATCAAAGGAATGTGATCAAAGGACGCCGACAGTGTCCAGTCAGGGTAATTAGCACCACCTTACTTCGCTAGTGGGGGGAAGGGGGCAGATAGGGAAATTGCGAATCTCATTATACGAGATTTACTTTACACAAGGATGAGATTTCGTAGGTAGAAATATTTTGGAGGAAGGAAATCCCTGCGGCGGGAGACACATTTTTTTGTTTGTTTTGTGTGCCCCGTTCGACAGAAACTATTTTCCCTAAAATTGGAACAAGGAGTAATAAAATAACTATTGCTTGCTACGCGGTAAAACAAATTCAATTTCAGCAAATATTATAAAGCTGAAGAGTTGGTTTGCTTAAATTTACCAACCTCAGGACTTAGTTATTAGGAAATTTGTTACGATGAGGTGTAGGACTCGGTAGCATACTTGGTAGAGCAACAGCACGGAACGCTGACGATGTCCGGTTCAAGTCCTGCCCGAGTCGAAAAATTTTTAAATTTATTTTCGATTTTTAAATTATAAGGTTTGTTTAAACAAATTTTGATGCCAAAACTAACTACTTATTTTACAAGAGCGAAATCGCAGGCACAGCTAGTAATGGTTATAATATGCCATAGACAAGATTTTTCAGTTGACGCTAAACCATAATTTAAGGGGTTGGTTGATTTTCATGTTAAAGAATAATACTCTTCTTTAATATGTTGACCCCGTACACTTATAGCGTATGGAATATATACATCCTACAGTACTTCAACAATTCTTGCTCATTATCGTTCTTGATTTGAATATGTATGAACCGAAATTGTGTATATTCTCTTATTATGAAGGTCTTAAAACTTTACTTTCTTAACAAAAGGAAATAAACGATCTTCAAAACAGTGCATAAAACTGTTTATAAGGATTTCAATCGCTTTACGTAAGTGCCTTTCGGATAACATACGCGAGTTGTATACATTTAAATATCACGCTTTAACAGTTGAGAACGCGAATTGTATTAGATAACTTATTTAACACTATATGTTCTCGTAAAGCCTTGAAATTCATTTCAACACACTTTCTTCACACATTCAAAGTCTAGGTCAACATGACGTATTTTCTGACTGAATCTTATAGCTTATATTTTTTCTTGTAACTTTGTTTCTTTGTTGGAAAAAATATATATGAATTTGAATTGTTACTGTGTTTGATTTTTATGGTCTTCGAGGTCTTTCTTAAGATACCAAATAATCTTTGTAACTTAGAATATATTGCATGTTTTCTTCTTTCATTGTTGACTTTCAGTCTTTTGTTTCTTTTTTTCTGTATACAAATGTTGTTTGAAAGAAATCTAGATAACAAAAGGGTGCCTTTATACTTTTCAATATAAATAAGTAATCCTGAAATGTATTTTAAATACTGTGTGTAGTTTACGTGAGTAGTGCCCATTTAAATAAAACACTAACGATCTCCCCGTGACCACGAGTACTACAAAACGTCTGTAACCTCGGGGAGTAGTTGAAATAATATTAAAATTAGTTTGTATAATATATTTCGCGTTTGAAACCTCTGTAGTCTGTAGTACTGAATTGAAGGCATAGTAAGCTCCCTAGTTAGTGACTATATATAGTATTTCCATAGTAATAGGTAGGATTTAGTCTTTTCGCCTCCAAAGTCACGTCCTCTCGGCTCGACTGGCGTTTTTACGATGAGCGATCTCCGCGGATCAAGATAATATTGGCCGATGGGCACAGCGGGTGGTTCGGTCACTCGGTCATTACTGCCCGACCTATGAAATATTTATGACGACTCCCATAATAACGCCGGCGACGATATCATTATACTTTGTGATAGGGGAGACCGGGCGAGGTGGAATATCTGAAAGCTCCTTACCATTGCAAAGTCACAATCGCGGGCTCCGCGGAACCTCTGACGAACTTTAAGCGTCTTCGCTATGTAAATATCGTTCGAAAACTCTCATCCGCAAACTCGATTTGACGTAAAGGTATTCAAATTGCCGAATCGCGCTGCGCAGACGCGCCCGTCGCCGTATTAACTTGTTAATTAGCCCGATAATACTTGCAGATGAGTTGAATAAATGTATAAAAAGGCCTTTTTCAGCGATCGCATGCATTGGCCGCGGTGCGGGGGGCGAGCCCCACCAGAAGTTTGCCTGTTCATAAATAAACGCGAACGCTATTCAACAGCCCTTGGTGCTGTATGCATAACGAATTTGAAGGAGGCAAACTTGGAGGCTCTGGTTCCACGGATGGTATAAAATTCAGTAACAACATGCTAGAGCTTTTCATTCGCCGGCCTGACGTCGCTGGAGTCATAGCTCTGATGCTAATTAGTGTTCTAATCGATCTGAATTGATGAGTTTTGTTGGAAGTTCTTCATGTGGACACCGAGACATGTGCTGTAGAAGTGATAGTTCTGTGCTCTGTGCGAAGTGTGGTAGGCAAATGGAAGCCGCAGACGGATTCGGAAGCCATCTTGCAACAGTTGTCATCTTGATGTGTGAGTCTTGCCGCGAGATGGCGTGCTTTACACTTCGCTTGGGCGGTCTCTCGCTGAATAATTTTGCATTTATTTTCACGTTTAAATTATAATATCGGACGTTTATAATAGATTTTATCGCTGTATACGATGTATGTTAGGCTCCTTGAGTAATGATTTTATTTTTACATGAACAGAAATCAATTGGATGGATTTAAAAGTTCGTTCGTCTCTTAACTTTTCTAGACTTTTCGAAACGATACTGAAGGGTTTTATGAACCGTTTATATATGTTTAATAGATTAGAATTATGTTTATATATCACGTTTTTAATACCAAAAGCAAAATAAAACATTTTTTTTTATTATAATTGCATAGTAATCAACAAACGAGTATATATACATAAGTATGTATACACTTGATGGTAGGTGCCTAAACAAGATGTGCTGTGTGCGGAAATTCACAGACTGACAATGTGATTATACTTTACGGCTTTTTTTTCTCTGGTCGTGGTTCGTGACCCGGATGGAATTTCGATATTCCTACTACCCATTTTATATCCAGATTACCAGACGGAGGTCAATGTTGATGATTAGCTATACATTGCTATGTTTGAAAACTTTAATATTTTGCACATGTTATTGCACATGAAAGCACTATATAATATAAAAATCGAAAATAAATTGAAAAAAATGTTGACTCGGGCAGGACTTGAATCGGCAACAGCACGGAACGCTGACGATGCCGGTTCAAGTCCTGCCCGAGTCCGTCATTACAAAACTAAGCTTAAAATCAATCTTATATTAACTATTTTCGATTTTTCTATACTTACTTTTCCGGATTTTCATGCTCCAACACGCTAACTTATGAGTCATGGCGACATAACACAAACATTAATGTTTTCACACACACTTATACACAGAACTACGTTAAACATAATACTTTTTTGTACACCTTTGAAATAAGACTTTATACCACAATTTTCACATAGGTATATTAAGTAAAATACAACAACCGCAAAATACTTCACAAAACTGAAATCAAACCCCACTACCCTCAAACGTCAGACACCTCGTTGACACGTTATTTTCTGCGTCGCCGCGCGTTGGTATTTGAATGAGACGAACACAACCGAAATTGAACCTTAAACCATTGACATAGGGCATATATTATGAATGTTTGGTTAGTGACAGTTTGTGACACCATCCTTTCGTGAATTTGAAGTGAATATGGAAAGCGACGGAAAATACATTATAGTTTGACTAGAGAACATATTTACACTTTTTAGTATTTAAATAAAATCATCGTGTATTCAGTCACAAAAGTGGGTAGATAACTAAGCTAGTAATGTCTGCAGTTTACAATATTACACATTTAATTAAAACACTAGGAACGGTTTAGAACGCAAAATATTGTAATTGCTGCACGATGACTTAATTAATTTCTCGCGTTTTGAACCGTTAAAAGCGTTTTATATCAAGTTCTAGTTCTTCAATATCTAATCGCTTTAATTATGGATATTAAGATATAATATATTGTGAGCTGTAGCTATAGGAATTAAATTAATATTTAACTTTTGTCCCTATTGTTATTAATGATATTATATTTTAAATATACATATTATTATGAGTATAATATTTTTCCAACTATACGGATTTACGTTTAAATCAGTTATAATATTCAGTCAGCTCTTAAAATTATTATTTAAATATGTTATTAATAATGCAAAATAATTATTATTACATCCAATTCAAATATGGTAATAGAGTATGCGGTCCGGTAGATTAAACAATTCAAATAAAATTATAGTTTGAAAGATTTAATTTTTTTTACATGTTTTGCATGTATTGCACATGATGGCACTATATAGATTAAAAAACAATAATAAATTGAAATAAAAAATCGACTCGGCCAGGACTAAAACTGGCATTGTCAGCGTTCCGTGCTGTTGTTCCAACCACTGGGTAGCTCAATTGGTTTGAGCAACAGCACGGAACGCTGACGATTCCAGTTCTAGTCCTGCCCAAGTCGAACTTTTTTTCGATTATAAATTGAAAAAAAAATCGATTTACGATCTCCGATTATAGTTAATTTTAAATTATTTTAACTATGATGCGAAATTTCAGATGTTTTGCAGCAGTGACCACGGCTGTATATATCTACCGTCCTATTTCCTTCGTCCTTTGTATAATCAATATAAGTTTATATATTCTGGGTTTGAATCCCAGTGTAACAATAAAATATTTCGATCGGACAGGACACACTGACTATCTATTTGTTTATAGATATAAATGTAGAAACACTACAATTCGCCCCATGCCCCACAGGGGGAAATGTACATCAGTTATTTTATTAGTAGACTAGTCTAACGAGTGTTCGGTTCACATCAGAAAGTCGGTAGTTAGATCAAATAAGAAGATCTATGATCTGAAACACGTAACTGCGCCGGCGCTTGCCCACGGCGTCAGTAGACACACGCCTTTCCGGATCCCACGGTCGTTACGAGTATACAGTGGGTTCTACGATATTGCGCCTTTTTTATGAGACCCTTAGAGAGTAGATCAAGAGATTTTTCATACTAAATTCATACAAATTAACAAGTGAAAATTACAATCATTCAAGAGCTATAGAACTATTTAAATAAAACACTTTAACGGTTTAAAACGCGATATATTAATTAAACTTATTTGAAAATGATTTTTAACTTCGGCCCGATGTTGCACGTATATATTATAGATATATATTAGACTCCCCGTGATCACGGCTGCTGCAAAGCATCCAAAACGTCAGGCCGAAGTTAAAAATCATTTTCAAATAAGTTTAACTAATATATCGCGTTTTAAACCGTTAAAGTGTTTTATTTAAATGTGTACTACTCGCGTAAACTACAGACAGTAGCTATGGAACTATTTATTTTTCAAACTAGGTAGGTAATTGCAATGAAGTAAACAATACGGATGTTCAGTTCTACTGCGGTGTGCAAATTCATTTTCAGAAAATGTGTTTTTAGCCTAGTTCATGGAACTTTCTCATAAATATAAGTCAAGCTGAGTGGTGGTGCTACTATTCAATGCTAAAAATCACTATGAAAACAAACTAAGGTATTGATATCAAGTCATACTCCAACTTGCTAGCATTTCAAAAAAGACTCTCAGATGGCCATATGAATAAAAAGTCGAAAGTATTTTCGGCTGACAATATCAAAACGTTCCTAAAAGAAGCTTCGGATTGCCGATATTTAGCAACAAAGGTCAGTTGAAACTGAATAATTGTGAAGTAGTAAAGAAATACGAAAGTGAAAGATTAATTTCTTTAATAAGTTGCTTATACGTTATTTTTATCTCTTTTCAGGTTGCATTAATATTCGGTACAAATGGTGCATGTAGACGTCAAGAGTTGGCAAACATCACAACTAATAATATCGAGAACCAAGGTCCATGTCCAGGTTAAAAACACAAACAACAAAATTCCAAGGTCGTTCACAATACATGGCCCTTTTTACGACGTATTGAAGAAATATGAAACGCTTCGTTCAACAAAAGCCAATTACAACAGATTTTTTTCAAAATTACCAAAATGGAAAATGCACTAAGCAACCCACTGGCATTAATTAATAGGAGCAATGCCGAAAGAAATTGCCACTTTCTTAAATTTGCCTGAAGCTCAAGAATATACAGAGCACAGTTTCAGAAGGTCACTTATTAACACCAAACGCAACGGAGGGTGGCGGTCGAGCAGTGTAGCCGAGGGATACATAGATGACTCGTTGAAAAATAAAGAAGAAATTAGCTCTCACATTACAAGGAACATACAATTAGAGTTCACAGGCGTACATACAGCCGCAACCGCCTCCGTCGCCGCCACCGACGACTGCAGAACACTGTGGTCTCGTTTCTCCTACTTTCACTCAAGAGAGTAAGAGAGAAACTGGGGAAATTGTAACTAATAATAATAACTTCACAACATTAAAAGTGCCAACTGGCAACGTAATAATCACTTCTAAAAATTGTTCAAATTTAACTGCTTTAACAATTAATTAAAGATTTATACGTTTAACTAAGTTAGAGTTTTATTAATTTCCTCGTAAATATGTTATAAAACGTCGTATGACATACGTGCGCTTTGAAAATTACAGCCTCTGCTTTCTTATAGCCCGATATCGCCGATGGCTCGAGCTGGTAATATCGCCTTGGCTGTAATTTCCAACTTACCGCATTTATATCATAATGTAATATTACAATAAATAGTTTTATTATTATTAGTAATACCGGTGGGAGCTTAGGCTTTTTTTACTTCTTTAACTTTTAAATAAAACACTTTAACGGTTTAAAACGCGTTTAACTAATATATCGCGTTTTAAACCGTTAAAGTGTTTTATTTAAATGAGTACTACTCGCGTAAACTATAGACAGTATTTACTTATTTGGATTTTACAAAAGTATCTTGTTTTTACAAAACACCCTGTAAATCGATAACAATCAACTTCGTAGGCGTGTGTTTACACAGAGTCTCGTAATTTCTGCAGGGTGCTATCATCGAATGTAACCACATCAATAGATCACGAAGAAAAGATGATTAATAGTGGAACTGCTGGCGCAGACGAACTTTGTTTAGCATTTGGTTCTTGTGTTTGAAATAAGTTGACAATGTACTTTTAAAAGCAAATTTTATCGGTTTGAAACTTTCTTTAAATTAGATCGATAATTTTTTAAATACCGTGTCCGATTCCATGCCTGTCATGGGACAGAAATATTTAAAAGATTATTTTTTAATAAATTTAGGTATACTTTTTCCCAAACATGTTGGACTTTGTCTGGATAGATGGGCGGAAGGAATAGCGAACTTCCAGCCGGCCATCAAATATACAAACAAACAAAAAAACTCTTCAGCTTTGTATAGGTAGGTTCTTGATTAGGTAATTGTTTTTGCAGGAACAATGTCATTTATTTCAAATAATATTAAAGTATAGATAAATCTATATTCTATACTTTTGTTAAAAGGGAAAGGTGCAGGTATGTAGGTGATTAGAAAGATCCACCCACATTTACTATTCGTATAAGTCGGGTAATATCTGTAATACGATGTAATACGAGAAGGGTTCTCCATTAATTTTTACGCCGTTAATTCTTTTTTATTTTAAACTATACTAATTCTATCAAACACAATTTTATACCTATTAAAACTCTTTGTTTCTTTAGTACATGAGCAATATAAGTCGTGTTTTAAACCGTTAAAAGTGTATTTATAAATATATATCATGGATAATGTCTATATAGAAATAGTTTAATTTTATGTCAAGTGAGGTAGCGTTGCTTTATATTACAGCGTTTTCCTAAAGTATTTAAATGATAATTTAGTGAATACAAAACAAAATGCTAGAAAGATACGACTTCCCCCCATAAATCTTCCAGAGTGCCCCATTTTTACTTTTTAACGTTAGCAAACCGCATTTTTATTCAAAGCAGCCACTTAGTAAATAAAATATGTTTGTTTAAAACAATAAAGGACGCTCTCTCTTACCCCGAATTTCCTGCTTTCTGTTTTTCCCTTTGACAAGTGAGGGTACAACGCGACATTAACATCCTTTAGGATTTTAATAAACTTTTAGCTAAAAGGTCTTTTTTATGGTAGAGGAGGACATGGGCGAAATATCTCAGTCATTTAACATCTAAACAAGATTACTGTTAGCAATATGTGAGCTGCTATACTGTCTGAAGTTAACGCGAGTAGCACATATTAAAAAATTGTTTAACAATAACGAGTTTAAATAATTTATTTCGCGTTTCAAACCGTTCATGTGTTTTATTTAGATATAATTTGCAGTAATGTGACCGATACCAATAAATTTAAAATCCTTCTATCGTGACTACGGCAACTATCAACTGTAGTGAAGCCGATATTTTTCGTTTTCGCTTTCATTAGGTACAGTTTACAAAAATATTTTTTCTTGAAGTTGGTTAAATACGTAAAACATTTATGCACTAATTTACAATTTATATTTAATATAAAAATCGTTTATTTGAATAAATACAGTGTTTTTGGTTTAATATTGTGAAAGTAATGTCATAGATAGCTGTACGCCGACGGACTGTGAATTTAATTCCCACGGGATCATGTTTGTTAATTACCTAAGAACATCGATCACTAGGTGATGATCGATGCCTAAGAACTTATCTATTATGAATTTGGACATGGCAAAAACACGGTTCTAAACAAAACGAACGAGTGATGTGTAATTTCAGAACTCGCGTTGTGATTTCAGTTCGTAATTTTCCGAATGATTAAATTGATAACAAACCCATTTCTTCGAACCCTATATCGTCTTCGCCTATATTCGGCTTCGTATAAAAAATCATAAATTGCGGAACTATCTGTGGCTTACACGAGTACCTACACATTTAAATAAAATGCTTTTAACGGTTTAAAATGCAAATTTATTAGTTAAACTTAAAAAAAGGTGTGGCCCGGTGTTGCGGATGCGTTACGAGATCTTTGTGTTTCAAACTACGCTATAAGTGTTTTCCAAAAAAAAATAATTTACTCTTTTAGCCCTTACGCCCTATTTCGGGCAGTTTCTCCCTAATTTAAATATTTTCACTCAATTTCAAGATTGATTTTTACTTTAAATACACTAAAAACCATTACTTGTCAATACATTAAACCTATTTATATTTATTTATTTATTTTTATTTTAAGATATGAATAAGGGAATGTTGAGCACATATAATCCGTATTACCATTGTTTCAAATACCTACCTATCAGAGAAGTATTATAGAAAGGACACAAATATGTCTTTTAGATTAAGTGCATTTACATAAAACCTTGTAAACGGCGGCTTATGACAATAAAATGATAATGTCTGTATTTTATGCGAGTAACATTTAAATAAAAACGTTTAACGGTTTGAAACGCGACAAATTCACTCATATATGTCGCGTTTTAAACCGTTAAACGTATTTCATTAAACTTATAACTTGTCCCAAGCTGAGAATAGTCTATTTTGAATCCGTTTAACGTGTAATAAAACAATCTCTGTCTGTTGTTTACGCGAGTTGTACACATTTGAATATATCGCGTTTTAAACCGTTAAAGTATTTTATTTCAAAACAATATTTTCCACATCAATGCTTTTAAATAGAAACAAATTAATGTTATTAAATGTATGGACAAACTATTTATACCTAATGCTTTATTATAGTTTTTAACAGAAACAGAATATTTCTAAGAAAAAGACATAAAATTGTCTCAAATCTATATTCTCACTTGAAACAGTCGATCTTTTTTTATTTCGTAAATCCAGATTTGACTCCGCCCAATCGATGTAGGCGGGGTTCGACCACGCCCCAGTAGTGCCTCCACCAAATATTTCCAGGGTATTATTCCAGCTGTTATATAACTCTCCCTGGGAGGCCCGTGGGAAGAGTGCCAGATTATTAAAACAGAACAAAATGGCGGAACTTGCGAGCCATTTCTCTCTGGTAATTGCTTTTGATGACAAAGTTCTTGAGAATGATAAGTTTCAAACTATTGTACAACCTAAGTATAACAAAACGGAATGGAACAAGTAAATATGACGCTGCTAGAGGTAGAGTGGTCTCATAACGAAAAACATTATTTTTAACATGATTTTCAATAAACAGGAAAATAAAAATGCGAAATTAACTTAGGCGAAAATGATTTTCAAAGTCAAAGTCAAAAATGATTTATTCATTAGGTAACTATGTAACTATGAAAGTCAAAAAAATTAAAAATCTAACTTTACATTTACTACCAGTTCTCAAATTTTCAGTCACTGTGCTCTTGTAGGTCAACATTTTTCGTCTATGAAAAAAATATATCTAAGTCAAGTCATAAAATTGCAGTTAGGCTACTCTGCCTCTAGCGGCCTCATATCAGGTAGTTCGTTATACTGAAGTTACACTGTCGACCTATTTTGGCTTTGGATATTCGGAAATCCACAGACTGAAACCGAAATGAGTAAATGTCGGCTTTTTCATCTATGCACGGTGGTTCGTGACCTGGATGGAATTTCAATATTCGGATGACCAGACGAGGTCCAACGAGTTTCATAAAAATTATAAATCTATTGAAAATATTTTGAACCAAGCGGGGATCGAATCCACGACCCGTTGATAGCCATGCATTGCTACTACACAACGAGCCCACAAACACATTGAAGTACGAAAGTGAAAACGAATAGCAAATTAGACACAGATATGTGCCTACCCTCACATTGAAAAATTTCCTCTTTTACAACAACTGATAGCTAACCTAAATAACTTTCAACGTGTTGGTTGGTGTATGGCTAATAATCAACGGGTCATGGGTTCGATTCCCACCATGTCCAACATGTTCCCAATCTGTTTAAAACTATTCTGAAACATATATTATATTAAATGAATGGTAGTAATAAGAAATTCCGTCTGGAAACGGATTCGACTTTGATCAGTTCTCCTGGCACTATATATTCGAAACATAGAAAAATTTTTGACTTAATGCAAATAATGCATTTTGCAAGACCAAGTGAAACTCGATCACTAAAACTTACACAGATAAGTGTCTCTGCCTCACAGAATTCGTAGTTTTATGTAGTTAGACCTAGTTTTTCCCTGTTTATAATTAATTAAGTAAATAAAATATTTTAACGGTTTAAAACGCGAAAAATATTTGCAATTACACTTGATGCTTTGCAGCAGCCGTGGTCACGGGGTATTAAGTGTAACCAATATATTTCGCGTTTCAAACCGTCAAATTGTTTTACTTAAATGTGTACTACTCACGTAAACTACAGACTGTGATAATTAACTACAAGCCTTAGAAAAACAACTACGTCTTAAAACATTTGATATTTATATCGCGAAATGTTTTGATAACTACATCAGATAAATAAAAAATTAGATAGTAAACATTTTCTTCACTTATGTATACCTTCACGATATCTGGGTCTTAGCTATAAGACTAGTGATCAAATAACAATAAAATTATTCCACAATATGAATTCATTAGACAATTCTGACTAGATTTTACCTTAGTTGTACAATATAAAACAAAAATGTAATTGATTAGTTTTCTTATGTTGGAATTATGAGAATTTGTTTTTTTCTTACGTTTATTTCGTTCCTATTTTGTTATACCTACCTACAAGTATTCAAAGGAAGTAGGGGCCTTATGTTTTATTCAAAAAAACAATTTCAAGTCGGTTGATAATATTACGCGTGCATAAAACTTTAATAACTTATTTATTAAAAGATATAAACGTAATATTTTTTTTTACTTAGATAACTTCTAGAACCTTCATGATTTTAATCAATCCTTTATTCTAATCGGTTCCGTATTTTAAGCGCTAAGAGAAACATACAGACATTAATTTTACTGATATAATATTTATCTACCCTACATTTTCATATCCAGAAATTATAAATTGTATTCATATATTATAACAAAAGCGGACCAGTTTGTTAAAACTTGTATAAAATACTGTCTATAGTTTACGCGAATAGTACACATTTAAATAAAACACTTTAACGGTTTAAAACGCGATTGAACTATTAGTTCAACTTATTTGAAAATTATTTTTACTTCGGCCCGACGTATCGGCACGGCTTTATTGAAAACTTGTATAACTAAATTATTATACAGATAAATGTGTTTTAGCAAAACTATTTTTTGTTAATTAGGACAGAATTATCTAAGGTTTTTTTTAAATTATAATCAAAGCTTTAAAAACAGGATAAGTGTTTTTTGATCATATCAATAAAGTATTTAGGATTACAAATCATATGAATTATAAAGAAAAAGTAGAATTTTTAATATTAAATAAAATTTAAAAATGAGGGTAGTTTTGTTAAAAACGAAGTAAAAATAAAATCCGAGAATGGTTACGGAATTGACGATGCAATGCAATACGGTGCAAGTAGTATACGCGGATTATGCGAATATAACATTTACTAATTTTACTTATTAACAATATGTTGACGCTTTTAAAGCAATAAATATTTTATGATATTTAATCAAATGAAACATACATTGTTAATATTATAATATAATGAAATCAAATTGGTTTATGTTATTTAAGTGTTAAATTAATTACAAAGTAACGTCTTATCACAGAAATTATTTGACAATTATTACGTTTAAATAAAACACTATAACGGTATAAAACGCGACATTTGTGTAAACTCATTAAAAGATTAGTTTAACTACGCCCCGACATTTCGGATGCTTTACAGCAGCTTTTAACTAATATATATCGCGTTTTAAAGTGTTTTATTTAAATGTGTACTACTAGCGTAAGCAACAGACAGCTTTTATTTATTACGTTTCTTATTAAATTATATTATATAGATTACTTTAAATTTTTGAACGAATTAAATGCGTATTATTAAATTAATTAAAATTATTTTTAGAGCTGCACTCATTTGCATGAAACGGCTACGATGGAGCGTATATAAACTCCTGCGCAGCAAGCATCTTTACACTCAGCGTTGTTCGTCCCTGCACGTAAGTACCTTTTAATATTAATCTAACTATTTAATTTGTACTACTCAATTTTGTCTCTTTTTATGGTTAATTTTACTTGATTTATTTCGTGCTTTCTTTAATGTTGCTACTTCAACTCCCCCCGTGACCACGTTTGCTGCAAAGCATCCGAAACCTCGGGCCGTAGTTAAAATAATCTTCAAATAAGTTTAACTAATATATATCGCGTTTTAAACCGTTAAAGGGTTTTATTTAAATGTGATCTACTCGCGTAAACTAAAGGCAGTGTTAACTTGAATAATTTCTTAAGTTCATTGTCTGTAGCTAACGCGAGAAGTACAAATTTAAAAAATAACATTTTTAACGGTTTAAAATGTGACTATGGTCGCTGCAAAGCATCCGACACATTTGTCTGTATTTATATAAGTTAAGCTTTGTGTTTCTTGTTTTAAACCGTTAAATGTCACGTTGAAAGTTTATTATTCTTTAAATCAGACTTCTTAGATTTAGTTTTCTTAACTTTTAATTGTATTACCTTATAAGTACTTAACCACGGAAACAATAATAATTAATAAATATAATAATGTGTATTTTTATAACTAAAGATTGTTTTTGTTTTAGTGAGCCCGGGTGCGTGTGGAATTGTGGCCTGTGTTCCCGGTGAGTCAGCATTTTCTCTCTTTTGTTTTTTTTTTTCACGGGTTCGTTGATAGAAACAATGTATGGCTAATAATCAACGGTTCGTGGGTTTGATGCCCCCCCTGGTCTATACATACTCTTAATTAATTTATAATTTGTCTAAAACTTTGTTTTAAAAATCTGCATGTTATATGGGAGGTAGGAATAACGAAGTTCCGTTCGAAACACGAACCACCGTCCAACAGTAAAAGCTATGTAACTCTAAAAATGTAATTAATCTGCTATAACCAAGTTTTAAGGAAATTACAAGAGGTGATTAGTAAAAAAATTCGACGATGACGTTTAGGACACGATAGCTCAAGTGGTTTGAGCACGGAACGATGTAGATGCCGGTTCAAGTCCAGCCTCTGTCGTAAATGTTTTTCAATTTGAAATCTGTTTGAATAATCTCGTATTTGTTTATATATAAATAATTAAATACATATCTGCGCAAGCGCATTAATACGCTGTATGTTTCAGGCATCCCATATAAGCGGGGACGCCCAGAATGCAGGCCCGCAACACTAGTGCCACAACCGCAGTCCTGCCTTTACTGCAAATTTGCCACGACTGCCGGTTGTTCTTCTCTGGCCTTTTACGAGTTACAACGTAAGTGTTGCTGCTATTGACAGCAGCTAGCAGCTCGCTGTAGTATTCATTTTTTGAAAGCTTTAAATGGTCGCGCTCGTGGGTACAGTGGATGCCTAGTTTTTCATTAGCGTGGGTGGCCCTGGGTTCGAATCCCGGGGAAATTGTAGATTATTTTGGAGAGGCTGGGCAGAAAAAACTGATCAACTTGCCTGTAAAATAAATCTGTCACGAGCACAGACATTGGGGTTATGTATTGTGCGTATGTGAGTTTACAGAAGTATTACGTATTAAAATAAAGCACGTTTAAACTATTAGTCCCCCCGTGACCACAGGATGCTTTGCATGCATAAATATTATACTTCGCGTTTTAAATCGTTGAAATATTTAAACGTCGGTTCTCTATCCTATTGTTTGATTAAAAATATCATCGTGTTTTACTTAATTACTATAAACAGATATAGTGAAAGTTAGGCATATATATGTGTAGTCTATATTTAACTTAGTTAGGTTTAAGCCTTCTTCTTGATTTGCAATTCTTACATAAAAGTTTACTTCCGAAATCGTCTAATAAGTTTTGAAATAATCCTTCAACATTCAACGTCTATAAACTGAACGGTCAAAGGAAAAACGGTGTATTTTTTTTTTGTGAAACTGACATACTTACCTAATGAATTGTTTTTGTTTCAGTACGTTTCTAAAATGTCCCATTATCGATTAACATGACAGTTCGAGCGATAAAATGTTAATGAGAAAATAAATATGTATCTTAAGTACCTTGAAAAGTGTATTTTTTTTTTTCTAACTTGAGTAACATCCACAGCGGATACCACTAGCCGGCCTGACAAATACAATTTTAATGGCATATGAAGCGGGCCAAGCGTGTTAATCTTAAAAGAAAAGGTACATATTTTTTGGATATATCTATCCGTTTAAATAAAACACTTTAACGGTTTAAAACGCGATATACCTATTAGTTAAACTTATTTGAAAATTATTTTTAACTTCGGCCCGACGTTTCGGATGCTTTGCAGCAGCCGTGGTCACGGGGAGACCCATTTTCAAATAAGTTTAACTAATATATCGCGTTTTAAACCGTTAAAGTGTTTTATTTAAATGTGTACTACTCGAGTAAACTATAGACAGTATCTATATCTATCCGCTTTGCAGCGCGCGCACCGTAAACCCAGAGATAGAATTTTCCCCGTTTTTCCACATTTCCCCCGGTTTCATCGCTGCTATTAGTCGCAGCTTGATGTTTTATAACCTAAACCGACCGAGATAAAAATATTTTTTCAACTCCAACCAGTTAGTTCTTGAGATTAGCGCGTTCAAGCCAACAAACAAATAAACTATTTAGCTTTACAACATAGGATTTAAAACCATAGAGATTGAGCGATGACTGTTTATAGTGTAGTTGATGTCACAGACGACACAGACATAACAAAACTTTGATTATATATGGACAAATGTAGCTCAGTATTAAAAATCACTTTTATATTATATAATCCAGTGTCTGAAAGGGTTTTTAGTGTAAATCAATGTAAGTCTTGTGAGAACACGATGTAATATTAATTTTGTTTAATAAATTCTATAAAAAGTACGCTAACTGTGGTCGTCCCTCTTGAGTGATAGTCATCCACCTTTTAATAAGGGCTCTATGCCCAACTGTGGGACACGTCTTCAATAAGGTCTAAGATTCAAACGCTGTGAAACTATTACTGATAATACCTACTGAAAAACTTGATTCTCATTGAGAAAATGAAATTAAATAAAACATTAACGGTTTAAAACGCGATATAATAGTTAAAATTATTTGAAAATTATTTTTAACTTCGGCCCGACGCTACGGATGCTTTTCAGCGGCCGTGGCCACAGGGAGACAATCGCGTAAACTATATACCTACAGTATTTAACATAAAATTAACAAATACACAGGCGGGATTCAAACTTATGAATGTATTGTCTTACGAACTGAAAGTGCTTTAATTAAGTAAATAATATTAAAATATTCTATTTGCTTTATTGATGGGTATTTTCTCTTTCAGATGATCTTAATTGAAATAAATATGACCGCTATGTAAGTATTACTTGACTTATTAACTATGTAACTTTACAATACAAAATTTTACACTTTTAACTTACTTTTCGTAGGGCTAATAAACGGGTCGTGGATTCGATCCCCACCTGGTTGTGTTGGACTTTGTCTGGAAATCTGGATTTTGTTTAATCGCGTTTAAATTTCAGTCTGTGCATTTCCGAATATCCAAACTCAAAATAGATAGACTGCGCATCTTGTTTTCATATAATATAGCCATTTAATCCCAACCACAAATTTAACCATGCTTGTATGTTTATCCTAATAGTATTCAATTAAGAAACTATTTAGCACGGTAGCTCTATTGGTTAGAACAGCACGGAATGCTGTGGATGCCGGTTCGAGTCGCGCCCGTGTCGTAAAATTAGTTTTCAGTTACAATTGTTTTGTTTTTAATTCTAATAAATGTTTTTCTTTCAGAAAGGGGTCAGTTTCAAGAATGCATACCCTCTATGTAGTCCGTAAGAACACTATGATATAAGTCCAGTTAATCCACGTCCGTAAGCAGGAGGTTAAATATATGTGAGTGTAATAATGTAATAAATGGTTTAGTACAAATCCTTATGTAGGTTTAGGTGTTGAACGATAAGCGTTTTCAAAATGTCGTTGTAGTCGATCCTTTAGGTATACATATATCGTTTGTGATTAAACGGTTGTTTGCTTTTGCCCCGTAAGTTGTTCAGAAGTTTTTTTCAATTATGATGGAGTAAACCCAAATGGCTTAAGATTGTAAACGTTTAAAGCCTTAATTGGATGTCTAGGTAGACAGTCTACCTAGATATCCAATTAAGGAGTGAAGTACTAGAATTATTCAAAGTACATAATCACCCCGTGTGACAAGTGACATCCTGACTATTTAAATTTGGAATGTCCGCTTATAACAGGCGTATCATGTAACGATTTTGTAAAAACGAATTTAAATATGGAACAAAAATATGTGTCGACTGAGTGGTGGTTATAGCTTATTGATTGAGGCCTTTCTAACTCGCAGCTAGAGGCAGACATTGCGCGAGATTTTAGTCATAATAAGGTATTTTCCGGTTTTTTTTCATGCACTTGGAATAAGAATTCCCACTCTGTAATTTTAAGTCTATAATCATAATTTAGTTAAGTTAGAACCGTAGTCAGTTTCTCTAATATATTTTTTTATTGCCTAATGTTCTCTTTGTATTTATTTATTGCTTCCTTTATGTCGGTCCATATACGATGTGGTGACAATTATTTTATCCATTTTATACCTTTAAAAAAATCTATTGGTACCGCTTTCTACGTCATATTTATTGTTCTTTCTGCTTCCTTTTAAATGTCATACTATAATAGCTGTGTCCGCGACTTCGTCTACGGAATGTTATGTGTGGAATAGTTATTCCGGGCATTATATTACTTATTTTTACGAACAACCTCCTCAGTTTGACATAGTCGCGGTAATTTTTCCACGTCTTTTTCTATATTTTCGGAAGTTTTTTTACGAGGCTTGGTACAGTTAACGGTTAAAATCGCCAAAATTATTAATTAAAGTTATTTACTAATTTAGTTAGAAAAAATTCGAAACGTTTTGAAGGCTGCTGGCCATAGTTAAAATGTACTTGTTAAATTGTTATAGGTACATTTAGCGTTTTGCCATCAAAAGTATCAATTTAAATAGAAAATTAGTCTCAAAAACGCAATACAGTTTCCCATTAAAATGTAAATACATCAGAGTTACACAACCGAACCGAATGATACATTAACATAGAGACAAGTTGCGACGTCTACAAATACGTGTAAGAGCTCTTCATAAATTGAAATGAGACGGTGAATTAAAAAATAAATCAAAAGAGGATTTTTCACGACACGTCCGCGACGCTGAAATTGGAAAAATGTACCGCGGTGCCATCTACTGCGCGTTTCCATTGTCGCTTCTGAATTCGTATCAACAAAAACTTTTAAATATACTCTCAAGTTAACTCAATACTCTGTAATTCAATAGGCTATAGTTTACACGTACTCATTTGAATAAAACACTTTAACGGTTTAAAACGCGATATATATTCGTTAAACTTATTTTAACTAAACGAAACGTCGGCCCGTAGTTATTTTAATTCTGGGTTCAAATCTTGGAGAGGTTTTTGTGACTTAAAAAAATCAACGTAATAATATCATTTTCAATAGTATTATTTTAACAATGAAGTACCTATTGACGTTCTTTGTAGCCAAATATTTAAACATGTTAGCACTACGTTAAGCTCTAGAAGTGCTAGGTTTGAATACTCTGGAAACAATAGATTGTTACGGTCGAACAGGGAATAGAAGTCTGATCAATTAGTTGGCTGTAAAATCGATCATTAATTCATGCGTTCGCCCTATGCCCCGCATTATCATACGAAAATATTTTTTTCAAAACTTAGTTGCTATTTTAGTGATTCGCACAAGAGAAATCCTCACTGTATTACTTTAAGTTGAAATAACAGAAAATATCTAATATTATTAATGAAAAAAAGCTCACGCGCGTTTGCTCCCAGACCTTAAAAGACAAGGGCGGACACACGACCTCAGCGTTCCGTGCGAATCGAAGTTGTCCAGTACATTTACACATGCATTCCGTAAATATCAACATATATTACAAAGAATATACTTACATGTGTAGTGACGGGTTCGTTACTTTAATGGTAGCAATGTATAACTAATAACCAACAGGTCGTGCGTTTTCTGAATCATGTTGGACTTCGTCTGGAAATTTGGGTATTTAATGGATGGTACGAATATGCAATATTCCGCCCGCATCACGAACCACCACACCACACACCACAGATGAAAAAGCCGTGAAGTTTTATCACGTTTTGGTTTCAGTCTGTGGTTTCCGAGTATCCAAAGCCAAAATAGCTCGCCAGACCATCTTGTGTAGATGTTATATGTCTGGAGTATTTCACCTCCTCAATTTTGTCTGTCCTCTATCATTAAAAAAGGACGGTTAAGGATGATGGTTCATTTCCCGTCCCGTGCGACAGTGGAAACGAGCACCGCAAAGATAATAAGAATGTTCTAGGTACATATTAAGCGGCGCGCGCTGTTATACAAAACTCATTTAAATAAACATGATGAAATTGAAAGAATTATGTACCCGAGTTCCCTTTATTGCTTTGCCTAAACATTATAATAATGCCATGACTGCGGCGGTTTCAATTCCTTGTATTTTTTACAATAGATATGGATTAGTTCTGTAACATTTAGTTAATAGTTAGTACCCACTGTCTATAGTTTACGCGAGTAGTAACATTTTGTTGGTTTAAAAAGCAAAATATATTAACGTCTGGCCGTAATTTAAAATAATTAAAAAAGAACTAGTATATTTCGCGTTTGTAACGCATTTTATTTGAATGGTTAGTAGAGGTCACGAGATCTAGTCATTTAAATAAAACACTTTAACGGTTTAAAACGCGATATATTAGTTAAACTTATTTGGAAATGATTTTTAACTTCGGCCCGACGTTTCCGACACTTTGCAGCAGCCGTGGTCACGGGGACCCCTCCCCGAAATATAACGCGTTTTAAACCGTTAAAGTGTTTTATTTAAATGTGTACTACTCGCGTAAACTATAGACAGGTCTAGTCATTAAAAACTGGCGAAATTTAATTTCAAAAATTTTTAAAAAATATTTTTTATTTAGAATTAGCGCTTAACCAGCTGTTCATAAAATTAAAACTAATTACTATTTTAAAAGTTCAAGGCCGTCGTGTCGTACATTTTTTTTCAATCTAACATCGATCTTTAATTTAAGTAGGTAGCTGTCTA